ATTAAATTACCAGCAACATTCTTCTCAGACCTGGAAATGGCAATACAGGAATTCATATGGGAACAAACTACCACAAATAGCCAAACAATCCTGAGGAAAAACAAACAAACAAACAAAAAAACAGGAGACATCACATCCTCAGACTTTAAACTTTATTATAAAGCTATGATAATCAAAACAGCCTAGTACTGGTACAAGAACAGGCACGTATAAACCAATAGGACAGGATAAAGTTTCCAAAAGCAAAACCTCAATTTCTCAACCAACTCATCTTCAACAAAGCCTCCACCACCAACCAATGGGGAGAGGAGAACCTATTCCGTAAATGGTGCTGGGAAAACTGGCTGATTCCATGCAGAAGATTAAAACAAGACCTCCACCTATCACCATACACAAAAATCAACTCTAAATAGAACAAAGACGCAAGTGTAAAACCTCAAACTGTAAGAACCTTAGAAGCCGGGTTCGGTGGCTCAGCCTGTTATCTCGCGCCTTTGGGAGGCTGAGGTGAGTGGATTACCTGAGCCCGCGGGTTCGAGACCCACCTGGGCAGTGAGACCTCATCTCTACAATAAATCAAAAAATCAGCCGGGCGTGGTAGCGCATTCCTGTAATTCCGGCTACTTGGAAGGCTGAGGCAGAAGGATCACCGGAGCCCAGCAGGTCGAGGCTGTGGTGGCTGGGAGTGGCCATTGCACTCCAGTCTGGGTGACAGAGTGGGACTCCAACTCAAAAAAAAAAAAAATGTAATATATGCCGAGGGCCTATCATAGGGCTTGGCTCATCGCAGGGACTCAAGAAATAGTAGATATAATTACCATCGTTTGTTCATTCGACAAATATTTATTGAGCACCTGCTCTGTGTCAAGGACTATACTGGATTGTTAGTCTATCTCAAGACTTTTAGTCTATCTCAAGGGCTTTTAAGTCTCAGCCCTATCCTCCTGCCCCTCACTGTCCAGTGGGAGAGAAATGTGCAGAAAAACAGTTACATATCAATGTAGTGTGGGCTGGGGCAGAGGAGGACGCCTTTAACTCTGCCCAAGAGAATCAGAAACAACTTCACAGAGGAGAGGTGACAGCTTAAACTGTGTAGGGCCAGCCACCTGCTCAGAGACTGTCACATCAATCCCGCCCTTGGCATTGGGTTGTGTTTCAGAATCTCTGAAATTGTCCAGTTTTGAAGCTTTGTCTTGCTTCTCGTTGTTGGGGCAAGAGGATGGGGCAGATGGGTCTCTCTTTGGAGCCCAGGAATGGTATGTGGAGCCCTGGCAACCCCAGGTAAGGGCATGTACAGATGGGCAGGTGAAGGGGGGAGCCAGGTAAGAGCGACCATGTGCATGCAGGCAGAGTCTGCTAGCTCACATGCACATCAGTGGCCTATGTATGTGAGCTCCTTGGCCATCCTAATTTTTCCACTTCCTCTCCACTCTTTCAGAACTCCCTGCCCTCCTCCCAGGCCAACTGTCTCTCCACGCATCTCTCAATAAGCCCAGCATCTCTCAATAAGCCCAGCACAGTAGAAGCAGCTCTACCTGGGTCTTCTAGTAAGGAGGAACTCCCTCCCTGCTGCCCCACCAAACAAGACCTTGAGCTTGAAAGCCACATAGACTGTGTGACCTTGGGCAGTTGCAGGCTTCTCTGGCTTCCTTTCCTGTCTGTAACATGGAGATGGTAATGGGGCTGCTGTGAGGTTTCAATGAGATGTAAACTTGGCCTCCAATCAATGCCATTTGCCTTCTCTGTAGCCCAATAACTCCCTCCTTGCAGAGGGTGAGACAACAGACTCAGCTTGGGGTTCCTCCTGGCACCCTGACCCCTGGGGCCTGTCCCCTGCAGGCCCTGCTGCCCCATTCCCCTCTGCTGGCCTAACGGTCTGTGGCATCCCTGGGAGGCCCTGGTCGCCCCAGCAGGGTAGCAGTGTGATACTGGCAGACCTGAGCTGCATGACAAGGGGGCCCCAGTGGCAGCTCAGCCCACCCCCCACTCTGCTGCCATCTCTCCTTCCTGCTGCCAATGACATGCCGCTACTCTGCAGATAGGACAGGCGTCCCTGGGCGCCCAAGGGCTGAGCAGGGAAGCTGGAAACAGCTTTCCCTCACAGACTGTGTGGGCAGTGCATTCGAATAGCTTCTGAAAATCCAAAGTTCAAGCCCCTCCCCCCTTCCCCTGGGAGGCACAGAATCCAGACAGGGAGAGTTCAGCCAACAGGGAATCTCCCTTCTGCACATTGTCACAGGCCCTCCTCCCCTCTGGCCCCACCCCCACCCAAGCA